ATGTGACTCAGGCAACCTCATCCGTCAACACGAATAGGAGTGCACTACACCGAACATAAGGCAATCCGGCTCATGCAAAGCAGGCATTGCTGTTGCCTAACACTTGGCGCCATCTCACTACACCCCACATGTTTTACCTCGCCTTTGTCGGCAAGCATGTCGGTGACGATATTCACACCACACACATTCCAGCGGTGATCTCAGCATCCAGATGTAGAGCCTACGGAGGCTGACTCCGACAGTGATGGACCTTCCTCTCAGCCACTAACGATAGGTGAAAGTGCAATGTAATCACTACGACCTCGTCGCATTGGTCAAACTTCCTCAGTCATGATAATGGGAGAACACCTAATGGCAATCAAAGGCCATGCAACATAATTTCCGCCATGTATATGCAAACCCACAACCAACGGACTGCCACGATGCAGACAGATCATAGCACACCAAAATGCACTGCAGAATGCCAAGGTGGGCGCCAAAGGGAGCATCAATGGTTTCGTGCATCCTTATCTCCGCCAGATTACTGCAAAGGAGGCTGTATGCTCTTTCCCACTCCCCCTCCCTCAAATTAGGCAGTTCGAAGCAGGTCGAACCAGCCCCATCTCACTCTCCCATCACTGTGTTGGCACTGGTGTTACAGGGTACTGAGAAGGGCTTTCCTTCTATGCCTCCAGTACCTTTGCACCAGCCTTGTTCGCCTGCGCAATAAATGGCCATTTAGGTGACCCCGAAATGCTCTATGCCACACCTCACGCTCTCATCATTCGTTGCAATGCCGCGCAGACAATACTCCACCCACCGGTGAGTAGCTCCACTTGATTTCCTCGCTCAAACAAGGTGTACATGACGCCTTCCTCCCATTATCAGGCACCTTCTGCATTGAGGCATTACAACACGTCGATGCGGGGAAACACACTTCCTCCCCATCAAACAACACATACTACCGTGTGTTAACAGCCTAGCACTGCATCCACCGTGCACCAGACCACATGATGCGTCCACCTCCAACATCTTCCTTTCAGGTTGCACTCGGAGACAAATAGAGATGCAAACACACCTCAACCGACGTAGGCATGCCATTGTTTATGTGAGAGAAGCGCATTCACTCACCCACGCGGTGGCACAGCGTGAATAAAAGGGCGTGCTGCACCAACTCGAAGTTTATACTTGCACACACGACATCGAGGTAGACGCTATGACAGCACACATGTCACCAATGATTGTGTTGGGATGCCTTTTCCTCGTGCTTGTCGTGGCATGTCCGTCAGCATCAGCAACATCAGTACTGGCGCGAGTGGAAGAGGAGGAAAGTAGACACCGTGCGGAAGGTCTCTCACCAGCAGTGTGGCGACCCGCTGTCAAAGCAATTTTTAAGAAGGCTGCGAAAAAGGTGGTACCTGCTGCAAAAGCTTTTGCTAAGAAGGCTGCCAAAGCAGTGAAAGAGTTTGCCGTCTACGAGGCTGCGAAAGAGGCCTACGATCGTGGGTCGAAGTGGATCAAACGACACTGGAAAAACTAAAGGCCTTCATTCATTGC